GCTCGCGCGGATTCCCTCCTCCACCGCGGGCGGGCGAGGCGCCCTCGGGAGCGACCCGAGGAAGCGTCCGCCATGCGCGGGAGCCAGACCGGAAGCCCCAAACTTAGGGCACTTTTTAGGTTCACAGAAAGACCTGTCTTGCCCGTAAACAGTTCCAGTCACCGGATTTAAGTATCCAAAGATAATCTGACTTCGCTATTAGAATATAAGACGGAGCACCCTGGCTGCATAAGTAAGAGTTTTAGGGCATGTACAAGCTGGAACATAAGCCCTAAAATCCCTTGCAACTCTCAGACTACACGCAACCACTAGCAAATGCAGTGTCTCTTTGACTGGGCAGCCATATAGCTTATTATAGCAAGTAATGTCAGTGACACATCCAGCTCAGTAGTTTCATTTGCTGACTGGCAATAGCTTTCCCAGGCCTCAAACAGAGAAAGGTCTTTTCCAGCCTCTGCTACCTGAGATCCTTTAACCAGGGATGCCAACAACTGAACCTTCTGTATGCAAAGCATGTATATCCTTCTGATCCCCAGGCCTTTCTTAATAATCCAGCTCAGTAGTTTCATTTGCTGACTGGCAATAGCTTTCCCAGGCCTCAGACAGAGAAAGGTCTTTTCCAGCCTCTGCTACCTGAGATCCTTTAACCAGGGATGCCAACAACTGAACCTTCTGTATGCAAAGCATGTATATCCTTCTGATCCCCAGGCCTTTCTCAATAATGTATCTTATGGCATACACGCATAATGCAGCTGTTGCCACTCCCCACCATCTGTTTTGATGCTTCCTGCACAGGTAGGTCTACCGTTAGCATGAAAAAGCCCCCTCCAACTGATCTCTCATTTTACTTGAGTGTAGACTAGATGAAGTTCATAATCAGAGAGTGATCAGAAGGAAAGTGATAGGCCCAGGTGTGTGTTGTGTCCTTAATGCTAGGAATCAAAATAAGGAGGCAGCATACTTTGGGAGCACAGTTTAATATGTCCCATTCTGTCTGGAGCTGCTATGTGAACAACTTCCTTTCTCCCTGTTCCTACCAACACCAAGCCCTGGAGTAGACTGGGGCGGATTAAAGGGACAGAGTTGTCAAAATACCACAGTGTGCAATATATGGCTATATTAAAACAACTATGACAACAACAACAACAACGTGCAAAGGAAACACAAAATTGGTTCTCAAGTTTCATTATTCACCCTAAAAGTTAAACTCGACCCAGATCCCTTGATCCTATCAAAATACAGAAAATAAAAACTGTAACTAGACCATATTCTGCACCTGTGAAAAATTCTGATCCCCGCACAAAAAGGCACAGGAGCCCTGCTGAGAAAAGAGTGTAACACCCCCCGTGGTCATTGACGCAGAGGCCATGTCTTTCTGGAAGAGAAAGGCAGAAGTAGAGATCTTACCCAATATCTGCGAGGTAGAGCTCTGTAGGGCTTGCTCCCCAATCTTCTGAATTGCTGTAAAATAGACATCAGCAGCCTCACATAATGCTGCAGAGAGGAGAGAGATAACACTAGGTGAGTTTCTCCCCTGCCTCTCTGCCCCCCCCCCGTTGTCTTTAATGCCCTACTCAAGTGACCCCCCATCACTTCCTTCCCTGCAAAGCCCTTTCTTTTGAAGTCTGAACTCAGCATACAAATCCTCTATGTGCACATTCAATGTTAAAAGGGGGGATCGGGGAGCATTCCCTGTCCATATGTGCATGGAGCAGGATAACAAACTGTGGTGCAATGCCTTACACGGACCCCAGATTTTGCATCTAGGTTTATTATCATTGGGTCTTCACTCTGTACAGGCTCAGTGTCTTGGGGGGGGGGGTGCTGGGAGGGGAAAAGGAGAAAGAGAAGTTGATATGACTCACTTCTCAAGCATCCAGAACCATATATATCCTCTGAATCCCAGAGCCAGGAGGCAACATCAGGGGAAGGCCTCTGCCTCTATGTGGTGTTGTTGGCTGCTCAGAGGAAATGGTTGGCCACTGTGTGAGACAGGATCCTGGACTAAACATACCATTGGTCTGATCCAGCAGGGCTCTTCTAATGTTCTTATGACTGTTGTTTTATCACCTTTTGTCCTTCCTCAGCATGTTGCTTTTCAATTGTTGTGTATACTTTTATTACTTTATTAAAATTCTTTACATTTTGAAAGCTAGCAGTCTGATCTCTGTGATCCATGTGAAGTCCTGCTATAGCACACATACCCAGAGAGAGGAGAAGAGGGGGAAACAACTTAACCCCACTCCCATTGTGTGTGTAACAGTGCTAGACCCCTGAAAGCTGAATTGCAAGTGTGGACAGCAAAGCAGATGAAAAGGCTGAGCTGCTCCTTTAGAGGCAGAGGTTTTCTGGGTGGGAGTCCTCAGAACGAGTGTGTACTCTAGTACAAATAAGTAGCTGGTAGAGAACCAGAGTAGCTCTGGGAATGGAGAAAGAAAACTCACTGGGCAGAAGAACCCAGACGGCTGCATAGTTCTCTCAGTCCAGAAATGATGGTTCCAAGTCCCATTTCCCCACACAAACATAAAAATAAAAAGAACCCTTTTTTGTTTTTGTATTTGTTACATAGGTTTCTTAGGCCCCTGCCACACGGGGGGGGGGGGAAACACCGGCAAAGTGCGGCTTTTTAAAGCCGCACCAAAATAGACACGCCGCGGCGGGATCCCTCGGATCCCATGAGCCGCGGCACCGTTGCTCCCCTGCACGATCAGATGCCAGGGAGGAAGCCATGGTCGGGAGACCGAGGCAGCCGGCTGCGCATGCATGCACATGCGCAGTTCGGCCAGGAGCCGGAGATGCGCCGGCAGAAGGACGCACCGGCGATCCCACGGCCGTGCTTGCTGCGGCCGTTCAGGTTAGACCTCCTCAGGAGGTGGTTTATTTTAGATGCGGGTTTTCGGCCGGAAGGGCCGGATCGGGGACGGGTGCGCAACGTTTCCCAGATGTTGTGGTGGGATCGCGGCCGTTTGCTGCGCCCCCGATCCGTCCCTCTCCCGGCCCAAAACCTTTCATGTGACCGGGGCCTTAGAGGACCTTCTCCTTGTTCATGTGTGGATCAGCATATCAGCAGAGGCCTTACACATGGCATATAGGTAACAATCACACGGTCAGTAGGCTCATGTTGAACTGCTGGCACATTAAAGATCTGTCCCAGATAGTTAGGGTTTTTGGGGTGGAGCCTGAGGAGGGCGGGGTTTGGGGCATAACGACATAGAGTCCAACTTCCAACGTGGCCATCTTCTCCAGGTGAACTGATTTATGTCGCCTGGAGATCAGTTGTAATAGTGGGAGATCACCAGCCACTACCTGGAGGTTGGCAGCCCTAGTGCTGCCAAATCCAGTTTGGGAAATTACTGTGATTTGGGGGTTGTGCTTGAGAAGAGAGCTCAGCAAAGATGTGACGACACATTCTGCCCTTCAAAGCTGCCATTTCCTCCAGGGGAGCTAATCTCTGTAGTCCAGAGAGCAGTTGTAATTCTAGGAGAACACCAAGCCCTAGGGTTGTCAGCTCCAAGTGTGGAAGTACCTGGAGATTTGAGGGGTGGAACCTGAGAAGGATGAGTTTTGGGGAGAGGAGGGACTTCAGTGGAGTATGACGCCATAGAGTCCACCTTCCAAAGCGGCCATTTTCTCCAGGTGAACTGATCTCTGATGCTTGGAGGTCGATTGTAATCCCAGGAGCTCTCAAGCCACCACCTGGATGTTGGCAGCCCTACTGGGTCCCATCTGGAAGATGGCAACCATAGTTCCCAGAGTTGTGGTCTGGGTGTCCCAACCTTGTTAGTCAGGTGGTGACCAGAGACAGGACCAATGAAAAACCCTCCTCAAGAACACTTGTACAGTGTACTCTGCTTTCCTTTATGGGCCAAGTTTATACCATTTGCATGTGTGCACTGGGGAAATTATCTCACAACTGCTGCTATGTACTGTTGTTTTTATTTAAATACTGTAAAAATTGTAAACTTACTTGGGAGTTTTAAAAAATGAATCTAGAAAGGCAGGATATATTATAAATATATACATTTATGCGTTTTGTGCAGTGTCTTTCATCATATGATTTGGACACACCCATAAATATGTAAGTGGACAATCAGTATGCCAAGAAGAGCTAGCAGATGGATTCATTATCCTGCCCCCCCCTTCCTTCACTGAGTGTCTGCCTAGGGTTATTAAGACAAGGCCATGTAGTTATTGGGTCAGGGGTATTCACTTCTGGCCTAAAGAGTCAGCTAGTATTGCCACTCACCATGGAAAGCTCTCACGTATTTGTTACCCAGGTACGCCAGATTCTCCAGAGCCGGATTAAACTGTTCTAGGATACTCTGTTAACCCATCCGGGTCAAGGAAGGAGTAAAAAAAACATACATACAACATATTAGCATAAATCACACTAAAACTCTGAGAGGCTATAGCTCAGGGATAGCTAATGTCAGTATTTATGGGGACCACTGCCCGCCATGTTCCTCTCAGACTCCCACTGGTTGCCAGCAACCCTATTAAACCCAGACATAGCTGGGGTGTTACATACAAATCCCAACAGGGCAAGATTCTATATCTCCCATGCTTACAAGAAGAAGAAGAGGAGATTGGGTTTATACCCCACCCTGCCTTCACTTGGAGTCTCAGAGCGGCTTACAAACTCCTTTCCCTTCCCCTCCCCACAACAGACACCCTGTGAGGTAGGTGGGGCTGAGAGAGCTCTGACACAAACTGTTTTCCCCCCCCAAGAACAGCTGTGAAAGGACTATGGCTTGCCACTGGTCATCCAGCAGATGCAAGTGAAGGAGTGGGGAATCAAACCCAGCTCTCCCAGATTAGAGTCCGCACGCTTAACCACTACACCAAACTGGCTCTCAATTTATGAAAAAAGCCAGTTTTCTAATTAGTTAAATTCTGAGTCATGGGGAGGAGGGTCTACTTGTTCAAAATCAAGGAGGATCACCAGGGGCCTGGGACAAATAAAAATTGCCCCCTCCCAATTGACCACCCTTGATTCTTACAGGATTAATTGGACAGAGTTCAAAGCCCAGTGCAGATGCCTAAAACAATGAACAGCCAACCAACAATGGGGACAGGGGATAGGATTGTCAATTCCAGGTTGAGAAATTCCTGGAGATTTTGGAGGTGGAGCCAGGGGAGGGGAGGGTTTGGGGAGGAGAGGGGTAAAATGCCATGATAATACCCAACCTCCAAAGCCATTTTCTGCAGGGGTACTGATCTCTGTGAAACGGGAATCACTTGTAATTCTGAGAGATCTCTAGGCTCCACCTGGACATTGTCAACCCTAACAGGGGACCTGCTTTGTGAGAGCCGGCTCCATCCACTCATTTCCATTTACAGATTGTATCCGGTGTAGAGAGCTTTCGTGCACGGGCTCTGACAACATGAAGAGTACCCTGCAAAAATGCAAGGTATGGATCACACCGAGGCTATGTGCATGAGGTCTCATCAACATGTGGAGAATGTGGGTGGGGGGAGGTGGGCCAGCAGGCACGAGCCCCCTTCCCCATGAAGTTATGGTTTGTAGATCATATATGTGTAAATCAGATTACCTGATTCAGGTGAATTGCACAGGTTTACAGAGGTCCACTATTAGCATTATGTGTCTCTGTATTCAGTGTTGCTTTTGTCATACCATGTGTATTAACAACACACTGTATTTGCAGTTGAGAGGCATGACTTACCATTCCCTTGTTTGTTCTTCTGACTGAACTATTTGCAGGTAGAAGATTAAGGAAATGGATCATTTAATGAAAATCAAATGGTAGAAGAAAGAAGAAGAAAGAAGAAGAAGAAATTGGATTTATACCCCGCCCTTCACTTGGAGTCTCAGAGCAGCTTACAAACTCCTTTCCCTTCCCCTCCCCACAACAGACACCCTGTGAGGTGGGTGGGGCTGAGAGAGCTCTGACACAAACTGCTCTTTTTCAAGGACAGCTGTGCCAGCGCTTGTGACTGACCCATCAGCAGGTGCAAGTGGAGGAGTGGGGAATTAAACCCGGTTCTCCCAGATTAGAGTCTGCGCACTTAACCATGACACCAAACTGGTAGAACAAAGCAATAGAATTCTGAAGTCCCTCCCCTCTACAGTTGCCAGTTCTGGGTTGGAAAATACCTGGAGATTTTGGGGGTGGAGCTTGAGGATGGTGGGAGTGGGGAGGGGAGGGACTTCAATGGGGTATAACGCCAGAGAGTCCACCTTTCAAAGCAGCCATTTTATCCAGGTGAACTGATCTCTGTTGCCTGGAGATCAGTTGTAATTCCAAGAGATCTTTAGTCACCACCTGGAGGTTGGCAACCCTACTCTCCTCCATCTCTCAAAATCTCCAGGTATTTCCTAACCCAGAGTTGGCAACCCTAATCTGATTACCCAGGTTAATCCTCACTCATGCATTGGAAGCTTGTTTGCACTTTCAGTCTAACCTCCGTCACAGGGTTGTTGTGAGAACAACGTTGAGGAAAAGAGAACAATGTATGCTGCTTTGGGTCCCCCTGGGGAGAGAGGTGGAGATGAAGTAATATTTAAAAGACAATAACTAGAGAATCAATGAACAGTTTGAAGGAGGAAAGGTGCCCTGAAAAAGTTAAAAGTATGCTTATTGGTATGCTTATTATTATTTCTAAGCATGACAGTTTTGTACAGTTTTGTACAGTTGTGTGTAGACAGACACATAATGGCTGCCCCACCAGAAAAAATATGCCCCACAAACCAAAAAATCCTGGCTACAGGCCTGGGTAATCATTAAACATGTTTTTGAGGTGGCCAGCCTAAGAGACATATATAACAAAGCATTGCACTATTATACTGCAGAGCTGAGGCAGGGACACGGCTGTTTTTGATGGAAGAAAATCCTATGTGTTGGAACTGGTAGTGCTCACTAAGTGTGCTGTATGTAAACATGGCCAAACTTCTACTACTACCAGTGTTCCCTCTAAG